AACCACACCCAGACGTACAATACTCAAGATCCCAGAAATTCAGCACAGGAACAATATACTAAAAGCCACTAAAGGAAAGAAGCATCACATTTAAAGGAAAACCCATCAGAATAATGGCAGATTTATCTTCACAAACCATCAAGTCAAGAAGAGCATGGAGCAGAGTACAAGTCTTGCAAGAAAACAAATTCCAACCCAGACTAATATACCCTGCAAAACTCTTTCAAGTATAATGGAGAAATGAAGTACATCTATGACAAAGAACAACTAAAGAATTTTATGATGACAAACCCAACCCTACACAGGTCACTAAAAGATATTCTAGAGAGGGATCAAAATGACCACAACTCTATGAATTGGAATGGAAAGAACCTACCAAATAGGGCAAAGAATTAAACATAGGAGAAAAAGAGGTATGCAAAAGCAGTCCTTCAATTATTCTTTTGTATACAGCAGCAAAACATTTCCATCAGCATACTCTACAAATGGACTTCTGCACCTTATGGGTCCTTATGCTGTCTGGGTCTACAGGGTGGATATCAAGGAAATAGCAGTAACCCAGTCCCACAAGTGACACCTGGCCACCAGTAAGCGTCATGGACACTGCTCATGTCCATGACATACATTCCAGTATGTTTTACTCTTAAGTAATTCTTTACTATCATGAAACATTTTTCTTGATAGTTGAATTGTTTTGAAATATACTTATAAGACATGGTATGATATTTTCTTCTAGTATTAGAAACTTTAAAAAGTATATTTCCTTTTTTATTGACTTTATATTACTTCCTTGTCTTTTTTTTTTTTGAGGTTATGAGCAGAATATATTTATTAAGAGAAAGAAAGCTCCTGTCCTGAGAGAGGGACAGCAGGGGGGGCCCGAGTGGGTAGTTCCCCGGGAAGCTGTCCTTCCAGGGATTTTTATAGCATAAAACAATGCAGGGCTAAGGTGCAGAGAATGGGAATTCGCTTAGGTGGGCAGGAGGTGGGACAAAACTATGGTCAACCAATGAGATTACAAGCACCATTGCTCAGGTAAAATTGAT